AGAAGCCGCACTGCACGCATATAGTCAACAGACACCAATGGCACAAGAGAACACATTGCACATGCATGGCACAGCAAGGTACTGCTAGGAAAAATCTCTGATCACCAGTGTGAGGACACATCAGCACCTGAAGTGAATCACCTCCAGGGACACACATCTTGAAGAACCATCATTACTGCACAAGGTGAGTAATTTCTTCCTCTTACACCAAAACTTGCAAATACGGGACTTTGGTGAGGAAGATCCAGGGACAGGGTCCTCAAACTGAGAAGACTATCTCTACTCTGATCAAAATGAAAGCTTGTGTCGGAGAACAATTACAGCTTCACTGAACTAGCATTGTCCTGTTTAATTGTGATGAGACTGAATGTAGAGCGTTTTCAGTGAGAGATATTTGACTGTGGTGTTCCAGAGTATGCATTTGTTAACCTTCAGGTGGTGCTTCGAGACTTACCCATTTTATACATTATAGAAGTTGCCTAGGTCAGGCCTGCCCCCTTCTGAGTCACACAGGGGAAGGCTGAGCCTGAGGCTAATCAGAGGCAATCAAGGGAACAATGGCAGGCTCTCAGTCCCAACTGCCACAGAAGCTGAAACTGAAACTGCTAGCACTCCCTGGAATCAGACTCAATTCACACTTCAAACTGTAAAATTCAAACAGTCAGGCACACACACACACTCACACCACAGCTTGTACTCTCACCGGGTAGCCTCTTCGGCGGTGGGGGCGCTTTGCTCTCCCTCTTCAACTCCCCTGTCTGCAGTCCCCTGTCCGCTTCGCTCCCCTGGTCGCACTGCTCTGGCTTTTTAAAGCCTGCTTGCCTAGGTCAGGCCTGCCCCCTTCTGAGTCACACAGGGGAAGGCTGAGCCTGAGGCTAATCAGAGGCAATCAAGGGAACAATGGCAGGCTCTCAGTCCCAACTGCCACAGAAGCTGAAACTGAAACTGCTAGCACTCCCTGGAATCAGACTCAATTCACACTTCAAACTGTAAAATTCAAACAGTCAGGCACACACACACACTCACACCACAGCTTGTACTCTCACCGGGTAGCCTCTTCGGCGGTGGGGGCGCTTTGCTCTCCCTCTTCAACTCCCCTGTCTGCAGTCCCCTGTCCGCTTCGCTCCCCTGGTCGCACTGCTCTGGCTTTTTAAAGCCTGCTTGCCTAGGTCAGGCCTGCCCCCTTCTGAGTCACACAGGGGAAGGCTGAGCCTGAGGCTAATCAGAGGCAATCAAGGGAACAATGGCAGGCTCTCAGTCCCAACTGCCACAGAAGCTGAAACTGAAACTGCTAGCACTCCCTGGAATCAGACTCAATTCACACTTCAAACTGTAAAATTCAAACAGTCAGGCACACACACACACTCACACCACAGCTTGTACTCTCACCGGGTAGCCTCTTCGGCGGTGGGGGCGCTTTGCTCTCCCTCTTCAACTCCCCTGTCTGCAGTCCCCTGTCCGCTTCGCTCCCCTGGTCGCACTGCTCTGGCTTTTTAAAGCCTGCTTGCCTAGGTCAGGCCTGCCCCCTTCTGAGTCACACAGGGGAAGGCTGAGCCTGAGGCTAATCAGAGGCAATCAAGGGAACAATGGCAGGCTCTCAGTCCCAACTGCCACAGAAGCTGAAACTGAAACTGCTAGCACTCCCTGGAATCAGACTCAATTCACACTTCAAACTGTAAAATTCAAACAGTCAGGCACACACACACACTCACACCACAGCTTGTACTCTCACCGGGTAGCCTCTTCGGCGGTGGGGGCGCTTTGCTCTCCCTCTTCAACTCCCCTGTCTGCAGTCCCCTGTCCGCTTCGCTCCCCTGGTCGCACTGCTCTGGCTTTTTAAAGCCTGCTTGCCTAGGTCAGGCCTGCCCCCTTCTGAGTCACACAGGGGAAGGCTGAGCCTGAGGCTAATCAGAGGCAATCAAGGGAACAATGGCAGGCTCTCAGTCCCAACTGCCACAGAAGCTGAAACTGAAACTGCTAGCACTCCCTGGAATCAGACTCAATTCACACTTCAAACTGTAAAATTCAAACAGTCAGGCACACACACACACTCACACCACAGCTTGTACTCTCACCGGGTAGCCTCTTCGGCGGTGGGGGCGCTTTGCTCTCCCTCTTCAACTCCCCTGTCTGCAGTCCCCTGTCCGCTTCGCTCCCCTGGTCGCACTGCTCTGGCTTTTTAAAGCCTGCTTGCCTAGGTCAGGCCTGCCCCCTTCTGAGTCACACAGGGGAAGGCTGAGCCTGAGGCTAATCAGAGGCAATCAAGGGAACAATGGCAGGCTCTCAGTCCCAACTGCCACAGAAGCTGAAACTGAAACTGCTAGCACTCCCTGGAATCAGACTCAATTCACACTTCAAACTGTAAAATTCAAACAGTCAGGCACACACACACACTCACACCACAGCTTGTACTCTCACCGGGTAGCCTCTTCGGCGGTGGGGGCGCTTTGCTCTCCCTCTTCAACTCCCCTGTCTGCAGTCCCCTGTCCGCTTCGCTCCCCTGGTCGCACTGCTCTGGCTTTTTAAAGCCTGCTTGCCTAGGTCAGGCCTGCCCCCTTCTGAGTCACACAGGGGAAGGCTGAGCCTGAGGCTAATCAGAGGCAATCAAGGGAACAATGGCAGGCTCTCAGTCCCAACTGCCACAGAAGCTGAAACTGAAACTGCTAGCACTCCCTGGAATCAGACTCAATTCACACTTCAAACTGTAAAATTCAAACAGTCAGGCACACACACACACTCACACCACAGCTTGTACTCTCACCGGGTAGCCTCTTCGGCGGTGGGGGCGCTTTGCTCTCCCTCTTCAACTCCCCTGTCTGCAGTCCCCTGTCCGCTTCGCTCCCCTGGTCGCACTGCTCTGGCTTTTTAAAGCCTGCTTGCCTAGGTCAGGCCTGCCCCCTTCTGAGTCACACAGGGGAAGGCTGAGCCTGAGGCTAATCAGAGGCAATCAAGGGAACAATGGCAGGCTCTCAGTCCCAACTGCCACAGAAGCTGAAACTGAAACTGCTAGCACTCCCTGGAATCAGACTCAATTCACACTTCAAACTGTAAAATTCAAACAGTCAGGCACACACACACACTCACACCACAGCTTGTACTCTCACCGGGTAGCCTCTTCGGCGGTGGGGGCGCTTTGCTCTCCCTCTTCAACTCCCCTGTCTGCAGTCCCCTGTCCGCTTCGCTCCCCTGGTCGCACTGCTCTGGCTTTTTAAAGCCTGCTTGCCTAGGTCAGGCCTGCCCCCTTCTGAGTCACACAGGGGAAGGCTGAGCCTGAGGCTAATCAGAGGCAATCAAGGGAACAATGGCAGGCTCTCAGTCCCAACTGCCACAGAAGCTGAAACTGAAACTGCTAGCACTCCCTGGAATCAGACTCAATTCACACTTCAAACTGTAAAATTCAAACAGTCAGGCACACACACACACTCACACCACAGCTTGTACTCTCACCGGGTAGCCTCTTCGGCGGTGGGGGCGCTTTGCTCTCCCTCTTCAACTCCCCTGTCTGCAGTCCCCTGTCCGCTTCGCTCCCCTGGTCGCACTGCTCTGGCTTTTTAAAGCCTGCTTGCCTAGGTCAGGCCTGCCCCCTTCTGAGTCACACAGGGGAAGGCTGAGCCTGAGGCTAATCAGAGGCAATCAAGGGAACAATGGCAGGCTCTCAGTCCCAACTGCCACAGAAGCTGAAACTGAAACTGCTAGCACTCCCTGGAATCAGACTCAATTCACACTTCAAACTGTAAAATTCAAACAGTCAGGCACACACACACACTCACACCACAGCTTGTACTCTCACCGGGTAGCCTCTTCGGCGGTGGGGGCGCTTTGCTCTCCCTCTTCAACTCCCCTGTCTGCAGTCCCCTGTCCGCTTCGCTCCCCTGGTCGCACTGCTCTGGCTTTTTAAAGCCTGCTTGCCTAGGTCAGGCCTGCCCCCTTCTGAGTCACACAGGGGAAGGCTGAGCCTGAGGCTAATCAGAGGCAATCAAGGGAACAATGGCAGGCTCTCAGTCCCAACTGCCACAGAAGCTGAAACTGAAACTGCTAGCACTCCCTGGAATCAGACTCAATTCACACTTCAAACTGTAAAATTCAAACAGTCAGGCACACACACACACTCACACCACAGCTTGTACTCTCACCGGGTAGCCTCTTCGGCGGTGGGGGCGCTTTGCTCTCCCTCTTCAACTCCCCTGTCTGCAGTCCCCTGTCCGCTTCGCTCCCCTGGTCGCACTGCTCTGGCTTTTTAAAGCCTGCTTGCCTAGGTCAGGCCTGCCCCCTTCTGAGTCACACAGGGGAAGGCTGAGCCTGAGGCTAATCAGAGGCAATCAAGGGAACAATGGCAGGCTCTCAGTCCCAACTGCCACAGAAGCTGAAACTGAAACTGCTAGCACTCCCTGGAATCAGACTCAATTCACACTTCAAACTGTAAAATTCAAACAGTCAGGCACACACACACACTCACACCACAGCTTGTACTCTCACCGGGTAGCCTCTTCGGCGGTGGGGGCGCTTTGCTCTCCCTCTTCAACTCCCCTGTCTGCAGTCCCCTGTCCGCTTCGCTCCCCTGGTCGCACTGCTCTGGCTTTTTAAAGCCTGCTTGCCTAGGTCAGGCCTGCCCCCTTCTGAGTCACACAGGGGAAGGCTGAGCCTGAGGCTAATCAGAGGCAATCAAGGGAACAATGGCAGGCTCTCAGTCCCAACTGCCACAGAAGCTGAAACTGAAACTGCTAGCACTCACCTGGAATCAGACTCTCAATTCACACTTCAAACTGTAAAATTCAAACAGTCAGGCACAGGCACACACTCACACCACAGCTTGTACTCTCACCGGGTAGCCTCTTCGGCGGTGGGGTCGCTTTGCTCTCCCTCTTCAACTCCCCTGTCTGCACTTGTTTGATACAACTTTGTATTTGGTTTTGGAAGAGTCTTTATTTTTGGACCATTAACTTTATTTTATATTGCTCTTATAAAGATTTTACATTTTCCCTGGATGGGAATTTTTGTAGTAAATTGTTTGACTTTGGCTACACCACTATGGCTACCCCTCTCAGATCTACTGACAAAGGGATCTTTGATGAAGTAGAGTTTCTTAGTTTTAAAGATGATGATGATGGTATCTCCAAAGCATTGGTTAAAGAAGATTTCCTGAATCACTAACACCACTCTCTACTGCTCTTTTTGATAGTCTGGTGCCTAAGCATAGAACCATCAGGTGATCTAACCTAGTAAGATCCGTTGGAATCTACAGTGTGAGTCAAGATATCACAGAACTATGCACCTTTACAAGTTGATCTGGGCTCATGACCCTCTCATCTGTTCAAGTAGGGCTGAAAATGTTATGGAAACAGTAATTTATAGGAGGAGGATTTTTCATGGTACAAGGATAGATAAATGTTTACCTCCTGTGGACTTCCAGTTAAGTTAGGTGCATGAAAATTTCCCTCCAAATGCATTTCAGTTCTGATTTCAGAATGCAGCAGAATTTGTCTCATTGTCATAAACAGTGCATAAGGCAAAATCCCTTTTATTTATTAAAAAAAGTCTAACAACATGAGTACAATCTTGGATCATCTTTATAGACCAATGTTCATATTTGTAAATTTTGTTGGTACTTTCCCTTGCATTTCATCATTCTTCTGTTACTCTGCATCGTTCATATCATCATCTCTGGAGATATTGTAGCAGTGAACTTTGCAGTAAGGGTGGACAGAAAGTAAACCCAAGAGCTAATAAAATAAGTTAAAAAAAGAAAAGCAAATGCAATCACTCTCTCACCTTGGAAATTTCTTTCTTAAGTTACTGCATTAATAAGATTAGCTTATTAGTTTTAAAACTGGGTAAATGTTAAATTCAGAAGTGAGATGAGAATAATTATTTAATTCCAAAGGCATAAATTGCTTTTACTGCTGTGTATTATCAGGATAAGCCTTTGCAATCTATCTCAGTATCCAAAATGGTAACTTTTGCTACATTGCTGACCTGTTGCTACATTAACTTTTGATTAGCTAATTTACATTATTTCAAAAACTAAATCTTTAAAATAAATTATTAACATTAAATGGCAAGTTAGCAAGATAAGAATGTGAAAAATCAAGTGTTTCCTTGTACATTACGTGGAAAAGATTTCTGGAAGCTTTTTGCTTTGAACATTAGGCTATTTTAAATTAAGCAAAAATAACTTAGTTGGTAAGCCAGAGAGTGAACTTCATTAGTGTTTGAGCAAGACTAGTGGAAAAACAGAACTAAAAAAAATCAGAGAATGGTGGATGTGGAGAATGAGCATGACACCAGAACATTTTGAAAGATTGTTCTTATGGATTGGGGGAAAAAAAGCCTTAAATCATGACAACATCTTGATGAAACTATTTTTACTGCCATTGAAATTAATAGGACATTATTAATTACTCAAAATGTTTAGTCTTATAATAAAACTTAAAAAACAACAATGGTCCTGTAGCACCATAGAGACTAACCAAAAATATATACAGTAAACCTCCATTGGTCCGGCATCCAATGCTCCGGGACTCCTGATGGTCCGGCACCATCAGGAACCCGGGAGTGCTGGGGCAGCTGGACAGCCTTCCCCCATTCGGCTGCTGCTGAAACTGACTAGCAGCTGAATCGGGGAAGCTGGGAGCAGAGCAGCTGGGTGCTGCCGGGTTGGTCTCTTAGTGCTGCCCCTCGGGGCTGCGGGACCAACCCGGCAGCACCCCAGCTGCTCTTGGGGACGCCTGGGGCAGAGCAGTCAGTTTCACCAGCAGGCTGACCAGAAGCGTCAGTTTCACCAGCAGGCTGAATCCAGACGCCTGGGGCAGAGCAGCTGGGGTGCTGCGGGGTTGGTCTCGTAGCGCCGCCCCTCGGCGCTGCGGGACCAACCCGGCAGGACCCCAGCTGCTCTGCCCCAGGGGTCTCCAAGTCAGCCACTGCTGAAACAGATCAG